CGTGTACATGCCAAATGACAATAATTGGTGCACATTCGTCGTGCGCGTAGGTCAACGCTACTAAACAGTACTAGATGTGCACGCATGGTCACCTACACACGTCTGTGACCACCCACTCTTATCCTGAGACGTTGCCTTTGATGCACCCAGAGCGCGCGGGGGGCTCAATGTAGAGGGTGACGCGCGTGGATTGCCCAGGCGGCATGGAAAGCGAGGGAGATACACATATAGAGACAGAGGGGGGATAGGAACAGAGCGAGCGAGAGAGAGATAGAGACAGAGGATATATATATATATAGAGAGAGAGAGAGAGAGAGAGAGAGAGAGCAAAAAAAAAAAAAAGGAGGGCGAGAAGGAGAAACATATGGAGGGGGAGGAAGGGGGCCTGGCCACGACCGAAGTCGAACAGAGCCAGGGAAGCACGAACCAGCGGCATCGAGGGCCTCGTGCGGGGGCCCTGCAGGTGTGCAAGAAGGGCCGCTCCGGCTGCATCAAGTGCAAGCGCTGCTGCATGCACCTGGATCGGGTCGGCGGGCCAGATCTGCATGGACAGGTCGAAGATGAAGAGGCGATGAGCATCCTAGTGAGAGCGTTGCTGCTGCCGCTGATGCCGATGTCGCCGACGACAGTGGCGGCAATGGCGACTATTATGATGATGATGGGGATCATGATGGCGATGATGATTAGACTGAGTATGATGAAGGCGATGTAGATAACGGTGGCGCTGATGATTATGCTGATGCTGCTGCTGATGGTGGTAATCTGACGAGTAGGATGTTGATGGCTGTGAGGTGGAGGTCCCCGAGGAGGCGGGGGAGGGGGGGGGGAGGAGTGGGTGCGCGTTTCGGGGGGGAGGGGGGGGGGGGGGGGGGCGCTTTGGCGCTGCACATGGAAATCGGCCCTGGGGCGCAGTGGCGGTTGGAAGGGGAAGGGCGTTGACGGCCGAGGTCGAGAGGCGGTGGAAGGATGCCTATGGGGGGCCATCGAAGAGGCGGAGGAGTGCAAGGAGGTGGAAACGCGGACGAATGCTTTGGATCGCGCGGTGCGGGCGTGAACTGATGGGGGGGCGTTTCGTGGCGGACGCAGTTGATGGGGGAGAGCAGGGGCATCGTTGGCGGCTCTCTATCCCCCCCCTCGCCCTCCGTCATCTTGCCTCCTGTCTTTCTGGGGCCGTTGCCCTCCATCTCTGCTTTAACCGACCCGCCCCTCGGATCTCGCAGTGGGCGCCAGGCAAGCGTGGAGACGCCTGATGGCACCGTGGAGTATCTGACGAGCAGGTTGGATAAAGTGCAGATGGAGATCGACAGCCTCGCGTGGGATGCTGCATTCGACGCGGCGGGTATCCCTGTGGCAGAGGCCGTTTTCTGCAGTATTTCTACCCTCTCTCTTCCTCCGCAGCCCGCCCCATTCCCTTCTCTGTCTCCTCGGCGACTCATGCGACGAACGACGTCGGCGCCAGCGACCTCCGACATCATTCGTGCGCAGGGGGAACTCGGGCATCCAGTGGTTGACCCTGCGCGGCGAGGGTGGACGGGGGCGGGGGAATGGCGCCATTATCGTCAGAGGTGCGGCGCAGCAGAAGAAACCATATGGGGCAGGGCGGGGGCAAGGCGACGAGGAGGTCGACGGGGGGGGCGCAGAGACAGGAGGTTCACGGCAACGAAGGGGGAGGGGCAAAGATGAGAGAGCACAGGTGCGGGGGCAGAAAGGGAGAGCGGGAGGGTCGACATACGAGAGGGGAGAGGGCGGCGCCAGCCGCCCCCCGATCATTTCATTTCCACGTCAATTCGAACTCCTCGTTCTCCCTCTTCCGTCCGTGCACGTCCACCCTCCTCCGCGATTCCCGCCGTTGCCTCCTTCTCGCCCCGCGGCGCTGTCGCGCCCTGCCCCCCCCAGCGTGGCGCGCCGTTGTTGAACGCGCCTGGGTGGGGGCCCTGCTTTGCTGCCACCCCTCTGCCCCTGCCGCGCTCGTCTTCGACTCGGCCGCCTTCTTCCGCGGGGAACCCCAGTGGGCGCGGGGGGCGGGCAGGGCGTCAGCGACAATGGCCCGACCGCGTACGCCTTCAATCAATGGCACCGCGCGCCCGACTACCAGAGCGCCTTCTTCGTGATCGAGGGGGCCTGCTGGCCCATGCGCGGCGGGCTGACCATGGTCGCCGACGCGAAGGTCGTGGCGCACGGCGTGTGGGCCCCCGCGACGACGCCGTACCCGTGGTTGGGCTGTGGCTTTGTTGCGAAGCAGTGATGTGAGGAGTGAGTGAGCGCACATCATGCACATCATGATCAATGATCACGTGCACTGTGCGCTGTACCGTCTGGGGCAGGAGTCTGCGAGGAGAGCGGGGAGGGAACTTCAGCAGTTGGCGGGGGGGGGGGGCGGGCTTGGAGATGTGAAGACTGGGGCGGGGGGGGGGTCAGCAGTTGGTACGCGCCGCGCCTGTTGCAGCGCAGCGCCCGCGCTGCGCGCCGCGGCCACTGCGTCGCCATCGGGGCTGCGCGCCTTTGGGGCGCCCTGGCCGTTTAAGGGCAAGGGCGAGAGCAAGGTGTGCAGCTGCAGCATCTCTTGTGTTTGGTGTCGCCGTGCGCCGAATGCTTATACACACATATATATATATTTATATATATATATATATATCTGGGTCCGGGCCTCGGGCCGTCGGGCCCCCCTCGACGACTTTGCAGGCGCATTCGCGATAGCAATGTGCGATGTGCTTGGAGCGACCGTGGCCGCTCTTCGTTCAGCGGTGGAAAATGTGGAGTCAGCTGGCAGGGGGCCGCGCGGGGCGGGCTGCCCAGAGAGTTGGCGCAGAGTCAAACACCTATTGCGCGATTCTCCTTCCCAATCGCCACCTTTCTCACCCCTGCTCCGTCAGCTCCCCTTCCCTCGTCTCATCCCACTCTTGCCCTCACGATGCTCGGTCCGAAATGCTCCGTGGCGTCGCAACAAAATCTGGTTTCGGGGGGGGTCGGAGAGGGAACTCCAGCGAGCTAGCTCCTGCGACGACCGCGTGCGAACGGAACGAGCTAGCTCCTGATGCGACGATTCGAATGAGCAAATTCCCGCATCGCCAGGACACTCGAACGACGAACGAGCTAGGTCCTGATATGACGACTCGATTCATCGGAGCGATCGACGCATCGACGCCGAACGACAGCATGCCGCTGCCAGCGAACGCTCGGGCGGTTTTCGCGCATGTTTCTGCCCGCTGCCCTCGCTCACCCCCGCCGCGTTCGCCATCTAGCCTGTGGGCTCTTGGGCGGGCCGAGACGCCCCCCCCCCGCCGATCCGCCCCCTGCTCGGGGTGGCCGCCGCCGACGAGCTTGGCGGCTTGGCGACGCAGCTGTTGTTCCAGGCTACGTGCCCGCCCCCAATCCCGCCACCGTCGGCTTCGCTGCTGCCGCGCTGTCTCTGGTCCTGCTGCTGCAGCCGACCCTGAACCTCGTCGCCGTCGCCGTCGTAACCGTCGTCGTCTTCCTCCGTTTTCGTCGTCGTCGCGTCGTCGTCGTAGCCGTCGTCGTCGTCGTCGTCGTCGTCATCGTCGTTGTCGTTGTTATCGCTGCCGTCGCGCACGTCCTACTCTGCGGGCATTCGCCCTCCCGCTCTTCCTCGTCCTCCGCTCGAGCGATCCTCGCGGCCTCGCAGTAGTCATTGCGGGAGTCGTCGTGGCGCCGTCCTCTTTCTCCGTTCCCCCTCCTCATGCTTCGCCTCCCCGTCGCCGTCGCGACTATCATCGCCCCCCGAGGCTGTTGCTGCTGCGCCCCCCCGTCCTCCCGCCTACCCCCTCGCCCCCGCCTACATCCCCCATGTCATCATCCTCTGTGTTCTCATCTGTCTCGCGCTGCTCCGTCAACTGCTGCTGCTGCTGTTGCTGGTGTTCCTCCTCATTGTCTTCCTCCTCTCTCTCTCCGCGTCCTGGGGCGGCTGTAGCGGCAGCGATCAGCGATCGCCCCCCGCCCTCGGGCGACCGCGGGCGCCTGCAGGGCGTTCGGCACGTTCGGCGCCCCCCACATCTCCGGCATCTGGATCGCCCTCCTGTTGCGCGCAGGCGCGGCCGAGGGCCGAGGGCGGGCCGCGAGGCCGTGGGGGGAGACGGGGGGATAGCGGCGCGGGCGTGGATGGCCAGAGGAGGGAGGAGGATGGCGGCGATGATGATGACGGAGATGATGATGAAGCTGATGATGATGGTGGGGATGATGATGATGATGATGAGGACGATGGTGATGATGACGATGACGATGCCGATGATGATGATGAGGATGCTGATGATGGCGAAGGCGACGAGGACGGCGATGGCGAGAACGATCGCAATGATGAGGTTGGGGAGGACGAGGGGGAAGGGGAGGTAGGAGGTGCGGGGGCGAGGAGAAGGGCGACGGCGAGGAGAGCGAAGTGCGTAGGCAAACGCAACGGAAAGGGTGGCCGATATCGTTCGACGGAGTCTCCCTACCTGTGGCCCCGAAGCACGCCGATGCTACATGCTAGGGGTAGGCGCAGATGTGTGTTCGTGGTGTGGCATGCGTGCTAGGGGAGCTGCTTTGCCATGCTACGACCCTGGGTGCCAGACATTGTATAGCGTCTGACATGCGTTGCTCCAGAGTGCGTGTCGATGATGATGTTGCCTCGCAGGTAAGGTGTTACACGTGGGTTATGTTGCGTTGCTGTGCATTTTCTCGCATTACTGAATTGCCCTGCGCTGCTGTGCATTGTTTAGCAGTGGTGCACATTGCACTGTTTAGGATTATGCCTTGCATTGCTTTGCATCGCGCTCGAGCGGCTCATGGGCGACCATGCGTTGCAGGGGCGCGTGCCCTTGCATGCGTTGCATGGCGTTGCATGCAGAGGCCACGGGATATAGACTATGCGTTGCACAGGCGTGTGTCCTTGCAGGCGTTGCATGCCCTTGCGTGCGTTGCATGTCCTTCCAATGCAGAGACGCGTGCCCTTGCCCACGCTGCACGTCCTTGCATGCAGGGGCCATTGGATATAAACCGCCCGCGAGGACCTGGATTCTTACTCGACATGGCGCTCGAGAGGCTCAAGGATGAGATCGCCAATTTCATCATCGACAAGAAGATGATGGGCGGCATGCTCACGAAGGGCGTCGTGGCGTTTGGGGACGCTGCTGCCTTGGTGTTGCATATTATCGGGCACAGCGACGCGTCGGGCCCCCTCTCCAGGAGAGGAATGAGGGAATCCATCCGCAAGTACGCGGCGGCCGTCGCCGCCTCCCGCGACGACGCTCACAACCTGAGGATGGAGGCTGGGGCATTCGAGGTCGACTTGTTCCCGGACGTGCTGAATGCCTTCGCGAATGTCCAGCTGAACCCGCAGGACATGGGCGACATCTACGCGGCGGTGGGCCCACCACCCGAGCAGCCGAAGGCGAGGCGCTACGTGAGGAGATCGTTTCCCAGTGCCAGCGCGTCGTCGCGGGCGCTGGCGCCACCGCGGCCCCCAGATATCGGCGGGGCCATCGCGGACGCATCAGCCGAGGACGGCATTGTGTCGGTCGCCGCAGCCCCAGCGGCGGCGGCGCGTGGGCCGATGGTACCAGCCAGCTCTTGCAGCCCCTACCTCGACCTCGACGAGGACGTTTTGGCAGAACGCTTGGAGCAGAGGGACGATGAGATCGCGGAGCTCAGGGAAGAGCTCCGAAAGACCAGGCGGAGCAGGGCCCTCTTCATGGAGAAGGCAGAGGCCCTCCAGGTGCAGCTTTATGATGCCCGCCAGGAGGTTGCTACTTGGACCGCGGCCGTTCATATCCGACCTGGGCGCAACGTCACTGTGCACGGAGGATATACCCTCGCCGTCAGGAGAAACATTGGGCACGCTTCCACCGCTGCAAGTGCGGCGATGGTGACGGGGGGTGGGGCTGGCAGCGTCAAGGACCCGAATACGGTGGTGAGTTACGAACATCGCGCCGTGGCCGCGAAGGTCGTCCGATCCCAAGCGTTCTACGACGACACCGTGGGCGACTTGACGGACCAGCTCGAGATCCACGCGCTGAAATGTGATGGGACCAACGCAGAGCCCATCCAACGGAAGAAAGTGCACGTGTCCATGATCCACAGCTCCATTTGCAACCTCTCGCACGCTGCCGCCATGAACTCAGGGGGGGGGGGGGGGCGCGGCAGAAGCTGTCGGCGAGGCTGTCGAGACCCATTCGATCACGGGCGACCTCCTGCCAATCGAGGAGGACAACGGCCCCGAGACTCACGCGTTCATGCTGACCCACCTGCAGTCCGTGGGCTGCCCCGCGTGGAGGTCTCGTGCAGCGGTGCTCCCGCAGGATAAACCATTCTTTGCGGCCGTCTACGTCTTCGGAGTAGACGCGGGCCCAGGTAACCAGTGGGCCTTGAAGAAGGTCCGCCATGACCTGGACGGCGCGCCAGCCCGCGTTATGTTTTGCGCGGTCTTCTGCTTCATGCACCAGCTCCACCTCGTTGTTAAGGACTTGCTGGACCGCGCGGAGGGCTTCGACTGGGGGCCGCTCACCGACGGCAGGCGCTACTGGGGCACGGTGGCGACCGTCGCCAATGTGTGGCGGTCGTGCGGGGCGCCGACTCGCATTCACCAGGCCGCCATGGACATCCCTGGGGGTGGTCCAGACGTCGCGCACAACTTCTTCAGGAAGACGCCTGGTCGGCCCCTGCGCGGCCGATGGGGCAGCGTGGCGGGGGTGGAGCAGCTGATCATTGACGCCGAGACCTTCATCGGCGCAGTCTTCAAGAAGGTCTTCGGTAAGAACGAGGCGGGGCCAGCTCCCCTTGGCAAGGCGAAGGCGAAGGCCAAGCCCAAGGCGGCCGCCGCCAAGGCGCACGCCAGAAAAAAGGTCAGCCAAGGCCGGCGAGGACGAGGAGGCCGCGCACAGGCAGCAGCAGGGCGACTGGAGGGGGACCGCGGTCAGGATGACGGGAGACTCCATGTGGCTCGCCATGGTTCACATATCCTGCACCGTGAAGGAGCCCCTCACGACGTACCTGTACTCCTCGCAAAAGAAGAAGGGGGAGTACGAGAAACGGGCACACGCTGCCAAGCCTGCTGCGTTCATGGGGCCGACCCCGCTGTCGCACTTGGTTGCCCGCGATGGGGGCGGGGCGCGCGTCTACCGCGACCTCCAGGCGCTCTTCTCGGACGATGCACAAGGCGCTGGTGGTGTTTGGGCGCCTGTGCGGGGGCTACTTCCTGATGGCACCGAGCCCCGCGCCCGACTTCTCATTGTGACGCTCGGGTTGAGGGCGCTGGCGGGTTGGTCGGCCAGGATTATGAAGCGCATTGGGGAATTCCCGCTCTTGCTCCTCCGAGTGCTGGACGACCCGCGGGACGAAGACTCGCCAGACCGCAGGGGACTTGCAGATGCGCTGCTTCGGCGGGACAGGGGTGCCTTGGTGAGTTGCAACGGCGACATCGCGGCAAAAGTCCGCGATTTGTTCCAGGGCGACTGGGAGGACATGCGGGTCTCTGGCAAATGCAGCGCCAAGCTCCACACCTTCTTGCTCATCTGGAGGAGCCGCCTGCCACATGATACCCAAGACCTGGAAGGCGCGAACTCCGTGCTGCAGCGCATGGCTAAGTTGGCGCCGAACCTCCACATCCCGCTGGCCTCTGACCGCCTCCGCCTGAAACTGGGGACCCCCATCTTGGCTGCGGACTGCGTCGCCCTCCACCCAGCCGTCATGGACCATTTCGGCAAGCAGGAGTTCGCGGACAGATTTCTTCCACTCGTGGTCGCAGATGGCCCAGCCTTGGATGCCCCTCCGCCGCCGCCCGCGCTTCCGCGGTACGACGCAGCCGTTCGAGCTGCAGCCAGATGCGCCCACGCCGCGGGGTCGCTAATGCCGAACTACGCGGACACGGCGTTCACGTTCTGAGGGCGCAGCAGAGGAGAGGCCAGCCTTCTTGATGTGCTGGAGCTACAAGGCGAAGGTATCGTACGCAGTTGGTTCTCTGCGCCCGCTTGGAGGCGACAGCTGGTTTTTTTCACTTAGACCGCCCAGTGCGCATCGCCTCGCTGGTGGAGGTCATCGGGGACATGGCGATGGTCGGCAAGGGCAAGGGCAAAGTGGGTGCCGCCGCGCCCTTGGCAGTGCGGTCGGGCTCCCTGGAATGGGTGTCGCTGGACCGCGCTCGGTTTGCCGATGAGATCGTGACGGAGGTCAAGCCGAAGCCGCCGAAGAGGAGCAGAGACGGCGAGGTCGACGACGGCGGCCTGGAAGACTTCGTGGCAGCAGCGATGGGGGACGTCATGGAAGATGACGTCGATGAGTACGCGGGCCCCGTCGGCGGAGGCGGCGCAGACGACGGCCTGGGCGGCCATCCAGAGGATGAGGAGCTCGACGGAGAGGGCCACATCATTCCCGAGCCAGAGGAAGTCGAGCCCGAAGAGCCCGAAGGGCCCGACGGGTCCGACGCGCCCGAGGGGCACGCGCCGCCCGACGATGATGCGGGCGACCACGGGCACGGCGGCGACGGCGGGCATGCGCATGGCCACGGGGGCGACGTGCACGACCACGGCGGCGGCCACGGTGGCGACGATGGGCACAACCACGATAGCGACGACGGTGCCCCTGCCCCTGGCACTCCCGTGTTGGGGAGCAATGGTGCCCATGAAAACAAACTGCTCATGCGACTGCGCAACAAGGCTGCGCGAGACCTCCGCAACGCCCACAAGAACGCCGATGCCAGGAGGGGCGTGGCAATGAACTACGGTGATGCCGGTTTGATAGTAAAGCCAGACGGGAGGTGCTCCTTCGTGTTGTGGACAGTGGTCGCTACGCGGAGGGCCAGGCCCGTGCGCATCGACCCGCAAGGCCGCATCATCTCGATGTTGCATTTTGCACAGCCCGAGGGCGACTACGCCGACGCCGACATCGTGGTGGGAAACACGGGCCTGGTCCAGACATACCAGAAGCGCCCGCACGAGCGGCCTTACGTCGATCCCTGGTTGTTGCTTCTGCAGCTAGAGAGGAACACCAGATTTTGCCAGGGGCCGCTCCTTCTCCTGGACAACAACCCCCAGAACTGCGTGAACTGCGCCTCCAGCCCGAAGGAATTGGAAGTCATCGCTGGCGCCAGTGATGATGCAGGTGCGCACTGGTACAGATGCTCGGTATGCCTGTGCCTTTGGCACCGAGCATGCGTCTGCAGGTACTTGGAAGACGTCGATTTCAATGCGTTCGTGTGCCCCGCCTGCGCCCCGCGAGTCCTTCGAAGAAGGCAACCATGGGTGGCTGGGCCAAGCTGATGGTCATGTGTGGCTTGGGCACACTTGGGCATGGCGGTGCGTTGTCTCCAGTATGGACAGCGACAGCAGCGCCTTCCTGCTAATGCATGGGGTTCACCCATTTCGGCCGCCAAGGCCTTGTATGTGCTAATGTACTGATGTGCTGTTGTGCTGTGTGAAGCGCGTCTTGGGGGACGCGTTCGGTTCGACTGCGTCTGGGCGAGCTTGGGGGCGCGTGTTCCCGCGAGGTGAGGTGGCTTGCGCCGTCTCCTTCTTGCGCGGCGCCCAGCTTGCACCAGGACAGTTTGCCTTCTTTGCATTGCTTACTGCTTGAGGGGAGCGGCAGGGGGGAGGCAACGTGGGAGCGATGGCCTCGAGCTCTGGTGGGCCTTCTTGCGGGGGTGGGTGGGCCGCGACAGAGGTGTTAGCATGTCCAGGTCGTCGTCGTCGTTGCTCAGGTGTTCGGCGCTCGCGGAAGCGACGTGGGCTGGTGGGAGGGCGGGGGGAGGGGGGCGAAGAGGGCCACGGGGTGGGGGAGATCACGGCGAGGACAAGGAATCTGATGGTCTCGAGAAAACGATGGCCTGGAAGCGGGCGAGGGCGAGGACGAGGACGAGGAGGATGAGAATGAATGGGGCATTTGGGAAAGAGCGGAAGGAGGATGACGAGGACATCATGGACGCAATGGGGCGATGAGGACGGATGGCGGGGCAGAACGATGACGATGCGGATGGGGGGGGGGGGGCGCGGAGGCGGGGTAGGGTGAGTGATCTTGGAACGCGAGGGGGGTAGTGAGATGAGGGTGGGGCCGTGGGGGGCGGGGGTGCGAATGAGGGTGCGGAAACACAGAGGAAAGGGCGAAGGCAAGGAGAGCGTGTGGAGGGATGACGACCGTGAGGGGGGCAATCAGCATGCGTGCAAGAATGCGTCTGTTTGCTCGTAAATGGGCTTCTCCGCCGCTTGCTCTCGTACTCTCTCGGCCCCGTCTTTCGCTTGCGACATGGTAGTCTCGCAGTATTGCGAGCAGCTTGTGCGGCGACGGCGGCGAAGACGACGACGACGACGATGCAGTGTTGGCCCCCCTCCCTTCGTCGTCTTCGTCGTCGTCATCGTCGTCGTCGTCTTCGTCGTCGTCGTCGTCGTGGGATCGGGCGTCCAAGAGGGGGGTCACACTCGTGCATCGTTGCGTGGGTTCCCAGTGGCCCCTGTGGCCGCCTCAGTCGCGCGCACCCCCCGTCCGCGTTGGGCAGGAGCAAGTTATCTGGTCATCGTGAACAGATTCAATGTCAGCGGGTACTGGCTTCCAGATTGTCGAGGCGGTCGGCGACCGTCAAACCGTCGAGGCTGGCCCACGCCCGTGCGTTCCGTGCCTTGTCCATGCACGTTTGTTCTGCGCGCGCCCACACCGACTGCCTGCGCGCGTGCAAGCATGGCTTCGCATGCACCGCGATCGTTCTCGCCTTCAGGGGGTTGGCAGGTTGTGTCGCACGTGCCGAGGAGCAACGCGGCGCGCGCACGTGCGAATCACATAGCTAGTTGGCGTTTTGCAGCTTGGCCGCCCATGCACGGCGCACACAATTCCTATCGGTAGGAGGTGGTGCCTAACTCGCGCGCCTGGAGCGCCACTGCCGGAACGCGCGCACGCGCGCTGGCTGGCGCTGGCCGCGTTTTGGTGTCGTCCGGGCGTGGGCCGCGGAGCGCGCGCACGTCCCTCGCCCTCGCTCGAACGTCGCGTCGTGCGAAGGACCCGCCCCGAGCGAATCAGGTTTCTCGGGTGACCTGGGCCGTCGTTGCTTCGAAGTTGGGTCCCTGGCCCATCGCGGATTGGCGATGGGCGCCGTCGATGCTGGCCATCGCGCATGCGTGCTGGCGGCGGGGCCCATCGCCGTTTGGCGATGGGCCCATCGCCGATCGACGATTGGCCCCACCGCCGATCGGCGATGAACCCAGCGCCGCTAAGCGATGGGCGCGTCTAGGATCGGCGATGGGCCCATCGCCGATCGGCGATGGGGCCATCACCAACGGCGATGATAGAGGGTGCCCATCGCCAATCGGCGATGGGCCCATCGCCGATCGGCGGCGAGGCCCATCGCCGATCGGAGATGGGCCCATCGCCGATCGGCGACGGGACCTCCAGGTCCCATCGCTGATCGCCGATGGGGGCTTCAGGTCCCATCGCCAATCGCCGATGGGGGGCCCATGTCCCCATCGCCGATCGGCGATGGGAGCTGGGTGCCTCCATCGCCGATCGGCGATGAGGACTGAAGTTCCCATCGCCAATCCGCGATGGCGGGCTCGAGGTCCCATCGCCGATCGGCGACGGGTGGGCTCATTTCCGAGCGCCCCCATCGCCGATCAGCGATGGGCCGGGGACCCCATCGCTGATCGGCGATGGGCTCCTTATAGGCCCCAGGGGCCATCGCCGATCGCCGATGGGGAGGCAGATTTTCAGACTTCTTTCGCATGCGACGGAAGAAAAAACATTGGTGCGACGATCAACCTTCACCAAAAAAACACGCTCAGCACATTTGAACAAAAACGCCGAACCACTGTAAGTATTTGGGGGTGCATTTGCCGGTCAGAGTTTGCGTGTTAGTGAATTTGGTATCGGGTAATCGCAAAAAACAAATCATCGACATTGTTTACAATTCAATGGACGCGAAGTTTATATTTCGGAAGGCTTTGTATTTTAATTGTGAATGCGTTTGTCAGTCAGTGGTGGGTATGAGTTGGTATTCCACGTTTGGGTGATGTACTTCTCGTGCCCCCCCTGCCTACACAATCAGAATATTTCTAAATTTAGCGCATGTGCACCGTGGGGTCGCGGCTGCCCATGAACGCGCCCCTCCCCTGCCAGGAACGGTACGGCGTGGGCCTCAGCAAGATTGAGTACGTCGAGCACATCGACCACGAGTTCAAGATTTCGGGGGACGCCACTGTTCCCCTGCTGAACAAGGGGGAGTTCACGATCGTGGGGAGGGGGGGGGGGGGGGCAGGGCTTCAGAGGGGAGGTGTGACGGCGTGATGCTTTGTGCAGATGCTATTGCTACCGATACGGTGTGCATCTAGTGCGCGTGGCAGGGTATGCGCATCGATTTGGGATGTCGGGGCTATTGGAGCGTAGATGGCAATGCGTGTACTGGTCCCATGAGGGTGCATTCGTGTTTAGGGCATAGGCGTTGGTGATTGTGTCCCGCCGTCTGCCCGCCTTCAGGGTCCTTCGCACTCGAATCGTTATGTTGCTATCGTAGTGCGATGTGGAGATCTCCATGCTCGCTGTTGTTTCCAGTGAGCGTCGCCCTGGAGGATGTTCGGTTTTATTTCTACGTGTGCAGCGATCACTAGCGTCCTCTGCTGACGCCGAACCATCTCGCATTTTAGCTGCGGCCAGATTCGGTGCATCCACCATCTCGGGGGGCAGGGGGGAGATGCGTCGGCGCTGTCGACCATCTGCGAGCGTTCTCTTGGGCGTAGTGGACTCAGAGGCGTACTTGGTCTCTCTGGGCTCACACGTCGGTAACCTGTTCAACCCTCCTTCATGGCATTGCTGTTCTCTGCAATCGCGACGCGTTCGTTTGCTGCCGAACGTGCGGATGGGCTGGGCAGTCGAGACATCCTTGGAATGACCGCGGGGACGAAGCTAGTATATTGAACCGCAAGCAGTCGGTCGAGCAGGTTGGGCTATTGTGGGAGAATAAGGGCGGAGCCCACCTGATTCAAGAGCCAGATGAAAGTAGAGAGGCGGGGAACAGGGGTGTAGCATTAAGAGGGCTAGCAGAGCCTGAGCAACACATGTGCGTGTTCGTGTCAGTCGAACTACTGCATGTGCATGCTCGCGGTTTGACTCGTGCACTGACTGTTTGTCTCTCTCTCTCTCTCTCATGCTGCCCGCGCGCAGCTCAGCAGTGTGTCTATGCGCAGTTGCCATTTCAGAACTGACTGCGCGTGCAATATAGGGCGCGTGCTTGACTTCAGCTATGTGGCGCTCACGCTTGTCTGCCTCTGGACGCCGCTCGCCCTTCTTGTCTTGCAGGGGGAAATGGGGTGCGACGCGCGTGGCGCCGTGGGGGGCAGGGATTCTGGTGGGCTATGCACGGTGCTACTTTGGCGCAAGGAATGAAACGAGCTTGGGAGGACGACGTTAAGAA